ACTTGCACTGTCATGGTTCGAGTCCCGTGGGGTTGCTGATGAAAATGCAGTCCAACTCAACTTGGATGAGACTACCTTTTGAAAATCCAGTCAATGTGAAATTGAATGGAAACGTAAGATCCCCACCAGTGATTGTTATCAAATTCAACTACCAGTCTTTTCATCACTTTAAACGAAATGAGATGAATACATTTCATATATAATCTCCTTCGAGTCCGGTAAAAATGTGCATCGATACCAGCGCCAACCAGAAGGTTCCTTTAATACCAAACGTCGTATTTTGATGGGCTCGACCTTTGCATGTCTTTATTGCACACCCGTTTACTTAAAATGGAAGTAAACTCAACAAAATGAGGTCAGTTCAAGTGTCTTGAATGCTGTATTTATCCTGTTTTGTTTATGTTGATGAAGAGTTTGGTGTTAATTTTCCCACAATCATACATTTCCATTAAAGTTTAAAATTATCTGGCAAACCAGCTTGTCTGAGAATACGTTTTAGGATGCGGGGAATTGTAAAATTAAATGAAAAATTAAGTTTGTAAGAAAATTCAACTACCATTCCTTCATACTCTTAAACGAAACAGTTTTTATATCATCTCAGCTGGTCGTCTCGAAAACCTACTTGTTAAATGAACAACAAGTGTCTTGAGCTGAAGAAGCCTGGCATTCAATCTTGGTCTTATTACTTGAGACGAATGTTGAACCCAACCAATCTGTACTTTGTCACGTCTTTACCCGCTCTATTTTTGCAGAACACACCCTCCAGTGCCAATCATTCCCAACGTGAATCCACCCTTATTCCCTTTCATATGACCTCGATGCAAAAAACACACATCTATACCACAGCCAGAGGGTGTGTAAACTCTGGACTGATGCGATTCGGGAGTCTGGAGAGGCTGGCGACCAGTTGGCCCGACTGGAAGTTAAAGCCTCCTCAGCTAAGACACATGGCAACGCCAGATTGGCATTTACCTCGGAAACCAGACGCCAGACCTCCGACGACCCAACAACAACCTCTGCACACCTTGTGCCAGGAAAATGTGATGAAATGGCCTGGTAACTGTCACCGGCTGGGGTCATTTGTACCGGAGATCGCGGGTTGCCAAGGCCAAAAGATGGAAAGACTGCGCGAAATGACGATGGCGATTGAAAGCACACAGCCGAAATATGCACAAACAAACTTGCCCAATTGATGACCACTTCCTTTATGTCCTGACGTAACTAGGTTGTGATTGACAAAGTAGAAAAAGATGGCTGATCTAGTTTTCACAATTTGGTCTTGTTGCCGAAGTTCTCTGCCATAGTAGAAGAAGTAATTTCTAAGGTAAGACCGTCGACTTGGTACATTCTCAGACATTTCAACCGAGCCGTATTCGAAATTGTCAAAATGTAACGCCAATCTTAGCAT